AAATAAATAAATAAATAAATAAATAAATAAATAACTTGTTTATTTATTTATTTACTTATTTATTTGGTACAGGGTCTTGGTACACAGCTCATGCAGGCCAGGCATGTGGTACTGCGGATGGTCCTTGTGCTTGCCAGGAAGGTGCTCAGGTCATTGAGCAATCTTCCCAGAACTTTTTTTTTTTTTAAGCGATGCTAAGGATAGAATCTAGGGGCCCATGCACGTGAGGCTAGTGCTCTACCACTGAGCAGTACCTCTAGCCCTAAAGCAACTTTTTTCATTTTATGTATTTGGTACAGGGTCTCACTATGCAGCTTGGACTCCTAGTGATCCTCCTGTCTTCAGCCTCCCCAGGGCTGGGATGATAGGCGTGTGCCACCACACCCTGACTCATCTGAAGGCTCAGCATGCCCTGGGGATGGGGGCGGGGCCAGCGCAGGCATGCAGAACCAGGGATCAAACCCTGGTCCCTGCACTTGCCAAAGCAAGTGCTTACTCTACTGAGCTGTCTTGCTGGCCCCAGAACATTTTGAATGATAGAAAAGTCCAAAGGAAGTTCATTCCTGTTCCCATTGACTAGAAATGATCAGTATGAGATGCTTTTGTGTTTTCTTTCTGGTCTTTAGGTATATACAGTACACTATCTCACAGTATCTCCTCTGATCATTGTGAAGATACTAATCTTATTTTTATCAATTTTGAATTTTTTAATAAAAACCCATGTTTATGATAAAAATTTCAAACAGTGAAGAAGAGAACAAGGCAGAGACAAAAGTTTCTGTTCTAGAGTCCTTCCCCTCCCTAATGGGAACCACTGTAAAAGGCTGAAGCAGAGATCATGTTTTGCAAACAAATGCTCTTATTAAGTTAGGCCTCCTAAGAGAGAAAAGTAAGGCAACACCTGGCCCTTCCTTGTATTCTCCCTAGGGACATGATCAGGGTTCATGTGGCCTGAATGGCCATCAACACCAGCAAGGATAATCGTTAGGAAAAAAACACTGGCTCTACTATCAGCAAAGTCTGCATTGGCAAAACTAGAACAGGAGGTACAAAATGGATTGTCTTGAACTTATGAAGTAAGTTCAATAGGTCTGGATGGAGTCTCTAAAATAGAAAGGCCTGCTGATAGTCACTCAGGTCAGGTACCCAACCAGATATTAGTAGAATAATAGCTATTTAATATTTTGTAGTATAATATGATTTGCTAAGCTCTGCAGAAGGGAATTTATTTATTTATTTATTTAAAATTTTATGTGTGTGTGTGTGTGTGCGGCCAGCTCAGCCCACCAGGGGGCGGGGCTGGCTGACATGTGGTGCTGGGGGATTGAACCGCGGTCCCTGTGCTTTGCTTAGCTTAGCTTGTTCTAAGTAGGTACTTTAGACCACTGAGCCATCTCACCAGCCCCGCAGAAGGGAATTTAATGTGAAGAAAAAATATATACAATTAGAGGACAACTACAGATTAAACAAGGATCTTGTCCCTCTTTCAACATGTGCCATCTTGTGGTGACTCCAGGATATTTATTTTAAGCTGTTAGCTTTGTTCACTCTCATAAGCACAGGGTTTATATTAATCTTCCACTATTTACTTATGGCTCAGTGATACAAAAGTCATTACAGTATAGTGAGATCACTGCCTTAAGATTTTAAAATATGGATACATATTCCCACTAACCAATGGGTGATTATATTAAAAGTTTACTTGAAAATTAGAACTTCAAATTCAATTTTTATGGAGAAGAAATGCTATCACTAGTGGTAAAGTTCCTATGCAAAACAACCCCACAGAAAATCCCCAAATATTCTATCCCAGAAATACCATTCTAGAAAATGGAATGGAAAACAAAACAAAATTAGAACATAACTATTATGGTATGAGTCAGCTTTTAAAAAGTCACAAATTATACTGAAAGAAGATCATGTCTGAGACGCTTAAATACAGGCCCTGACTCTGAACTCAGGCAGAGTTTGCCCTGGGGTTCTGGGTAGCACAGCTGCAGAGTCAGGCACAGGACAGACTTTTCCTACAGGGCCACCCTGGGGTAAGGAGGGAAGGAGTGTCTGGGCCTAGGGCTGAAAGTCACCTTGCTTAGTGGAGAAAGGCCAGTAGGTGGGTGTGTGCTGGAATTGAGTGGGAATGGACCACTCGTGCTAAAAGAGGACTTACACGTACATTTAAATTTGAGTAACTCCTTTTCTTTTTTTTAAGTAACTCTTGAGTACATCTTGGACCAGATTCAAATAAATCTGACTACGGGAAATGTGGAAAGCTCATGAAAGCTTCAAAGACACAGAAGTAGAGTTATAGTGGGGCTCTCCCGTAATCACATCCTCAGAAATCACAGTAGTGGTGTCAGGTATCTGGAACATGGTTTCACATTTGGTCCTAAAATGTTCAGGCATTTTCCTCTCACTTCATACACCAATACAAAAAGTACTTTGCACAGAAACACTTAACCTGTTGGAAGATCAAAGAGGACAAACTCACAGGCCTACTTGCTGAACCCTAGCTGCAACAGATAAGACTATAGTACCAAGAGCTTACAAGAGGAATCATCAGTTAAAGAGCTTTACACACAACCAAAAGAATGAAAAGACAGCGTAGAGTGGAAGAAAATGTACCATCTATCTCATCAGACAGAGGACTAATATGTAGATTCTATTAAGAACTA